TCAGCCTTCCTGCTCCTCTGATGCTGCTTGGCCTGCCGTGTTCATCCAGCTCTACACCTTGCTTTCTAATGTTCTGGGGACCCAGGTTCGAATCCTGCCATGGCAGATGGTGGAATTTGCATTTAATAAACAAAGATATCTGGAATTAAGAATCTAATGATGACCATAAATCCATTGCTGATTGTTGGTAAAAACCCATCTGGTTCACTAATGTCCTTTCGGGAAGGAAACTGCCATCCTTACCTGGTCCGGCCTACATGTGACTCCAGACCCACAGCAATGTAGGTGACTCTGAACGGCCCTCTGGGCAATTAAGGACAGGCAATAAATGCTGCCTAGCCAGCAAGGTCCTCCTCCCATTAACGAATGAAGAAAAAAATGGGTTTTTCCTAACAATTGACAATTCATGGTCACCATTAGACTCTTCATTCCAGATTCTTATTGGATTCAATTTTCACCATCGGCTGTGGCAGGATTCAACTTCAGGTCCCAGAGCATTATTTGGGTCTCCTGATAATACCACTGGGCCGTCACCTCCCCTTCTTCCCCGCTGCTATCAGATTTATGAACAGACCTCTCATATATTAGAGCTGATCTTTCTCTGCACCTTCTCTGTAGCTGTAACACTACATTCTGCATTCTGTTCTATTACCCTGACTTACTTATGTATTTGTCTGGTTAGCACAGCAAAACAATACTTTTCACTGTACCTTGGAACATGTGAGAAGAATACATTGAATCAGATCAAATATTTCCAAGTCAGGATGGTGAGTGGCTCGGAGGGGAACTCACAGCGGGTGGTGTTCCCATGTATCTGCTGCCTTTGGCCTTCTTGGGGATGGAGATCGTGGGTTTGGAAGGGGCTATGGGAGGAGAATCACCAACCCCGGCCACACAACTTTTCGATATTAATCACGCGAGAAGAAAAATTCCCGTCAAGTCATTTTTGTAGCGGTTATTTGACTAGTTGGGCCGATTGGCAAAACTTGTCAATGCTCTCCGTTACTCAAAGGGAGTTTATTTTTTAATTGGAGAGGGGGATTAATCAGAAGTAACCTTTGAACCAGCCGCTGCGAAGAAGCTGGATTAACCTCAAGCACAGCAAAAATGACGAGGCCAACGGTAACACTATGAAAACCCATCTCCCTGGAGGTCAATCAGTCCCCTGGGCATACTTAAACTGAGAAGAAATGCATTTCTGTAGCGCCTGCCACAATTTCACAGCATTCCAAAGCTCCCTGCAGCCAATTAATTACTTTGCATAGAGTGACGTTATTGTCGTAATGCAGCAGGCAATATACTCCCAAAACTGACAATGTGATATAAAGACAAGATCATGTCTTTTTTCGTTAATGATGTTGCTTTCAGGGATAATTATTGATCAGGATGCTGGGGAGATCTATCCCTTCCACCCCAACATTGATTCTACAGGAGTCTTCGCATACACCTCAGGGAATCATCTGGTCTCAGTTTTAATCTCAGTATATAGAGTCATACAGCATAGAAACAGACCCTTCAGTCCAACCAGTCCATGCTGACCATAATCCCAAACTAAACTAGTCCCACCTACCTGTGCTTGGCCCATATCCCTCCAAACATTTCTTATCCATGTACTAATCCAAATGTCTTTTAAACCTTGTAACTGTACCCGCATCCACCGCTTCTTCTGAAAGTTTATTCCACACACGAACCGCTGTCTAAAAACATTGACCCTCACGTCTTTTTTTAAATCTTTCTCCTCTCACCTTCAAAATAGCATTTCTGGTACTCCCCAGCACTCCCCTGGTAGTGCATTGCAGGGTTAGTGTGGACTGAATGGGTTCCCATTTCTGGAATGGGACTATGAACACACAATCTTCTATTTTCGAGGTGAGCAGGCCACCCTCTGAGCCACTCGGAGATAGCAAGAGCTGCAGATGCTGGAGTCAGAATCAATACAGTGTGTTGACCATCTGAACCACAGCTGACCTTTAAGCTTAAAAATAACCTAGCCTCCACATACCCTTTCTTATCTTCTGGTATTTGAGAAGCAGTGAGAGTTCACTCATTCGAAACGCCTCTGGGGATGTCCAGAACATGGAGCCAGCTCATCGTCTCTGTCTCTCCAACTTTAAGATGCTCCTTATCTGCTCCCGCTCTTATCAAAATTTTGGTCCTGATAGCCCCTAACGTGTCACATTCTGGCTGATGTCAGGTGCCTTTTACAATGATAAAGGCACTAGACAAATGCATGATGTTGTTGTGCAGAGGTCCTCACTTGGTTCTGGAAGTCTCGCAAAAACACAATGTTGTCTTTTTCCATCCTTTTGCAGCTCGCTATTTCCTGCCTGTCCACCGTCTTGGCACTTGACTTCAAAGCCACGGAGATCGAGGTCGGGGTGGTGACAGCAGATAATCCCAAGTTCAGGTCTGTAGGATCCTTCCGATGGATTCAGGAATGACAGGTTGCATCAGGACAGTCCTATTCAGTCACTTGGGCCTGTTCACATTGTCTAGTTTGTATTTGCCATTGTTCCGCAACTCTTAACCTTACCCAATAAAAATCTGTTAATCTCAGTCTGAAGCTTTCTACCAGAGCCCAGCCTCAGTAGCACTGTTCTTTTATGAAGTGAGTTGGAAGAGAGTTCTAGACTTGCACTCCCTTTCATGTAAAGAAAAAATGGCCTTGATAGAACCATAGAAATGATACATCACAGAAGGGGACCATTTGGTTCATCTCGACCATGCCGACACAAAGACACCCAGATGCCCTTTCTAATCCCGTCTTCCTGCTCGCAGGTCATAGCCCTGCAGCTTGCAAAACCTTAAGTTGCAGATCCAGGTACTTTTTAAAAGTGTTTAGGGTCTCTGCTACTGACTCAGGCAGCGAATTGCAGACCCCCACCAGCCTCTGTGTAAAAAAAATTTCACACCTGAACAGCCTCTCTCTAGCTGTAAGATTATTCCCCCTGGTTCTGGATTCTGCTGCCCTCCTCCATGCCCGATCTTCCCGCCTCCCCCCCACCCCCACCCTACCCAGCCCTCACCCCCCAATACTGCCTCCAATGGATAAAATTGTTCTTTTAACCACCCTATCAAATTCTTTAATCATCTCAGTCAGTTCCCTAGTCTCCAACACATGAGCACATGTATGCAATCAACACAATACTAATAGGTTTGGTCACTGAAATAACTGCACAGAGGTCAGTATCCCATTACTAAGTCACCCTTTCTTTACATGTGCACGGTACATGGACTCTGACCAGCTAGCTCAGAGCCAGTCCCTAGACTGAAGAGACTCTCTAACACTCCTCTTTATATCTGTCAGCCAGGGCTCCCTGTTTGGCTCAGGTTAACAGCCCCAGTCAGGGAACTCATACTCAACAAGACCCACCTGGCCAACCTTGTACCAATCACTACAGTGACCTTACTTACAGGGAGACATTTCATTGGAACAGTTCAGAGAAGGCCCACTCGACTGATCCCTGGGATGAAGGTGTTTATCTAATGAGAAAAAGTTGAGATTGGGCCTACCCTCATTGACATTTAAACAAATGAGAAGCGATCCCATTAAAACATGTAAGATTCTGAGGGGACTGAGTGTAGATGCTGAGAGGATGTTTCCCCTTATGGACAAATCTAGAACTACAGGACATAGTTTCAGAGTGAGGGTCTCCTATTAAAGATGGAGACGAAGGGGATTTCTTCTCTCAGAAAGATGGTGAATCTTTGGAATTTGCCTAGCCTCCTCTCACCCTAATTAATCACACTCTATAAGTATGTCCTTTCATTAATATCTTGCTCATCTGTTTATCCAGTGGTGATGGGTTACAGCTCATTCAGGAATCCAAGAAGCAGTAGTAACATGTTTTTTTTTTCATGCATCTGGAGCTACAGATTGTTTTGATAGAGATTACAATTTTCTTACCATCTCATGGCTAAGCAGGAGGTCACTCCCACTCTTAACGCCTAGCATTGGTGCGTGTCAGATGTATTTGCAAGTTAAAGATCAACCTGTTTTGGCTGTGTTATGAACACACTTTCATAGAGTCATACAGCACAGAAACAGACCCTTCAGCCCAACCAGTCCATGCCGACTATAAGCCCAAACTGAACTAGACCCAACTGCTTGCCTTTGGCCCACATCCCACCAAACATCTCTTATTTATTGGTCAGTGCATTGAGTGTAGGAGTTGGGAGGTCATGTTGCAGCTGTACAGGACATTAGTTAGGCCACTTTCAGAATTCTGCACTCAGTTCTGGTCTCCCTGCTGTAGGAAAGATATTGTTAAACTTGTAAGGATGCAGAAAAGATTTACAAGGATATTGCCAGGGTTTGGGGGGGGGCGGGGTTTGAACTATAGGGAGAGGCTGAATAAGCTGGAGCTATTTTCCCTGTAGGATCGGAGGCTGAGGGGAGACATTATAGTGACTTATAAGATCATAAGGGGCATGAATAGGGTGAATAGCCAAGGTCTTTTCCCAGGGTAGGGGAGTCCAAAACTAGAGGGGCATAGGTTTGAGGTGAGAGGGGAAAGATTTAGAAGGGACCTAAGGGCAACTTTTTCACACAGAGGGTGGTGTGTGTCTGGAATGAGCTGCCAGAGGAAGTGGTGGAGGCTGGTACAATTACAACATTTAAAAGGCATCTGCATGGGTATATGAATAGGAAGGGTTTAGTGAGATATGGGCCAAATGCTGGCAAATGGGACTAGATTAATTTAGGATATCTGGTTGGCATGGATGTGTTGGACCAAAGTGTCTGTTTCCATGTTGTACAACTCTGTGATTCAATGACTACTTATCCAAATGTCTTTTAAACATTGTAACACTTTCTCTAGAAGCTCATTCTACACACCAACCACTTTCTGTGAAAGAAAAAGTTGCCCCTCATATCTTTTCTCCTTTCATCTTAAAAATATGCCCCTGGTCTTAAAATACCCCCAACCCTATGGAAAAGACACCAGCCATTCACCTTATCTATACCCCTCGTGATTTTATAAACCTCTATAAGGTCACCCCTCAACCTCCTACGCTCCAGTGAAATAGGTCCCAGTCGCTCCTTATATCTCAAACCCTCCATTCCCTTGTTCAAAAGCTGGAGCTTCTGCCTCAGAGGCATGGGCATTACCCATTGTACTAACCTCCCTTTAAACGTGTTTACATTATTTACCTCAACATTTCTCTGGAAGCAAGTTGCACGTTCTCACCATTGTCTGGGAAAAGTGCTTTCTCCCTGAATTCCACTAGAAAGTATATATTTATACTTTAAAAGTTTATATTGATCCCCAGTGTTAGATTCTTCCAGACGTGGATAGATCAATTTGGGGTACAGATGGTGATTTGGTCAATGTTGGAGAGTGAGGCCCAAGATTACAGCTGCTTCTCTTGACCCAGAAATTCTCCAATTTCCTATTTTTCACAGGACCCTCAGTGTGACAGAGATCGAAAAGCATCTCGTGGACATTGCAGAAAGAGAATAGTTCCTTCAAGCGTTCGAGAGAACCGCAGTGAAACTAAACTCAACCATAATGAGGAAGGAGGAAGACAAATCCAGGGAGACTTGAAGCAAGAAAACTGGGTCAGGATGTTTAAAAAAAACCCTCCATCTCTCATTCTTTCAACCCACTTTAAATACACTGGACTCTGGATAGAAAACTTCCAGCAATTCAAAAACAAAACTGCTGTAACTTTTGTAAAGAGTTCATTATCTAATTAATACAAGACTCAGCACAGCTCCGAATAAAAGGGGAATTTAACATACAAACAGCCAGCTTTGGGTTCTTGTGTAATCATTTAAAAAGACTATTAAATTGTTCATTGTCCATTTATAATTAGGGGAGGCAATGGCTTAGTGGTATTATTGGTGGGCTGTTAATCCAGAGACCCAAATAATATTGTGTGGACCCAGGTTTGAATCCTGCTGTGGCAGAGAGTGGAATTTGAATTCAATAAATATTTGGAATTAAGAGTCTAATGATGACCATTGTTGGGGAAAAACCCATCTGGTTCACTAATGCCCTTTAGGGAAGGAAACTGCCATCCACCGCTATATCACTGTGCCAGAGACTTGGGTTTGATTCCACCCTCAGGTGACAGTCTATGCAGAGTTCATCACCTAACAAAGGAGCAATGCTCTGAAAGCATGTGATTTCAGACAAACCTGTTCGCACGATAACCTGGTGTTGTGTAACTTCTGACCTTGTCCAGCCCCAGTCCAACATTGGCACCTCCACATCATGTTCACCCAGAGGAGCTGTGCGTGTTTGGTCATTGAGGCCTAGGCCTTTGATTAATTTAAAACAAACCAGAATCTGCTCCTTACATGCTGTATCCTGCACGTCAGCATAGAGCAGGTGCTGGGGGAGTTTGGGAAGCTAGTTTATTCAGACAGTGCAGACAAAATGGGCTGAATGGCCTCCTACTGTGCTGTACCTTTTCTGTGGTCCTATGGCACACTTGGACGTGACCTTTCTTTCTTCTTCACTTTGCCCTCTCTTTAGGGTATGAAATGTTTTCTCCCCCTGTTGTCCTCCCTGTCATAGAGCTTCTGTTTTATTCTTCCTGTACACTTCCAGTGAATCAAGATTTCTGCCCATCCCTACCTCTCTTCAACTCTGAAACAGTTACCTCTGTTTCTCCCCCTAGGTGCTGCCTAAGCAACTGTGCTTTGGTCCCCCATTTTCGTTTTGTTAGATTAAGGAGGATTACTTTATTCAAAACCCAAAATGCAGAGGAAGTCTGGTCAGGCAAATCACCAGAGATGAGTGGAGGTTGAAGGGTGACCTTATAGAAGTTTATAAGATCACGAGGTGTATGGGTAGAGTGAATAGCCAAAGTCTTTTCCCCAGGGTGGAGGAGTCCAAAACTAGAGGGGGCATAGGTTTAAGGTGAGAGGGGAAAAATTTAAGGGACTTTAGGGGCAACTTTTTCGTGCAGAGGCTAGTGTGTGTATGGAATGAGCTGCCAGAGGAAGTGGTACAATTACAACATTTAAAAGGCATCCGGATGGGTACATGAATAGGAAGGGTTTAGAGGAATATGGGCCAAATGCTGGCAAATGGGACTAGATTAATTTAGGATATCTGGTCGGCATGGAAGAGTTGGACCAAAGGGTCTGTTTCTGTGCTGTACAACTCCATGAGATGTCTAGCACACAGAGGGATCCTAGAATAAAATCCCTATAGTGTGGAAGCAGGCTATTTGGCCCATCAAATCCACACCAACCCTCTGAAGAGCATCCCACCCAGACCCACCCTATCCCTGTAACCCTGCATCTCTCATGGCTAACCCACCTACCCTGCACATCCCCAGACTCTATGGGCAAATTCACATGGCCAATCCACCCTAACCTGCACATCTTTGGGCTGTGAGAGGAAACTGGAGCACCCAGGGGAAACCCACGCAGACACGGGGAGAATGTGCAAACTCCACACAGAGGGTGGGATTGAACCCAGATTCCTGGTGCTGTGAGGCAGCAGTGCTAACCACACAGCCACCGTGCCACCCATCCTTATGGGCAGTTTTCAAGTCACAAATAAGGCAGTGATTCCTAGGCCTTTTCCCATTGTGACTCCCCCATTTCAAGGTTGGGAAGTTACTGTGACCTCTCAGTGAGAACTGGAGGGCTCTGGGAGAAGGCTGGAAGTGCTGCGGAGAGTATTGGAGCCAAGTGCTCTCTCTGAGCTTGCAACCCACCCATGGTTCTGACCCCCACTTGGGAGAAACACCGAAATAGGGTTTTCCTTGTCGCTTCCACGTTGTCAAAAAAAAACAGGGGTGACTCAAAATACTTTTGATGGAATGCAAATACTTGATGGATGAATTGTGAAGGGATTTTTATTCCAGAAATAGAGTTACTGCCACACCCTCACAGACTAGACAAAAACAATAGTAGCAGGCAATAACTGGACAATACAGAACTATTCCTATTTAGAGAATATACCTTTTCACTGAATGTCCTACCTACCATTGGGAGCTATCAGTCAATGATTAGACAGCAAGAAATTACAAGAATTTTCGTTTCCACGATCTCATTGTTACAGAGAAAGACTTTTAGTTTGAAAAGACGTGGGAGGCACTCCACCTAATCAAATTTGTTGTCACCGTACTAGACACAAGTGTAGGAGGTTCTATGGATTTTGGTCAGCATCTAGGGCAGAGAGGACAGGATTCACTTAGGAACCTGGTTAAGTCACCCAGAAATCTTGATTTCTCTTCAAATGTTGAATAACCAGTTGAACTGAATTACTGTTAAAAATTTGTAGCATGGAAGCTTGTATCAGCTATAATCCAGGTGTGACTGAAATTTATTTTAAAAAATGGAATCAGGAATTTTAGGAAGCCAAAAGGAAAACGTGGGTTGCTCCCGCTAAGCTTGCCTCACAGGGCGCCAAAGTGTAGTACCCGACTGCACTCTATTTATTTCTTTGTCACCTGCTCCAACTCTATCAGTTCAAACAGTGAGAAAAGGCAAATTTTTATAGATCTTTCACAACCTCAAGGCCTCCCAAACCACTTCACGGCCAGTTTGTTTTGTTTTGGACGTGTGGTCACTGTTGTAATGCAGTGCTGCCAAAAAAAGAGCAGGGTGGCATGGTGGCTCAGTGGTTAGAACTGCTGCCTCGCAGCCCCAGGTTCGATCCCAGCTTTGGGCAACTGTCTGTGTGTGGAGTTTGCACATTCTCCCCTGCATCTGTGTGGGCTTCTCACAGTCTGAAGATATGCAGGTTAAGGTGAATTGGCCATGCTTAACTTGCCTATAGTGTCCAGGGATGTGTTGGGTGGGTTAGCTGGGGTGATTTGAGGGTTACAGGGATTGGGTGAGATGCTCTGCAGAAGGTCAGTGTGGACTTGATGGCACTATAGGTCTCCTAAAGAGACTCTGGGGTGCAGAATCATGGTTCTTTGAAGGTGGAGTAGTGAAGAAGGCGTTTGGTATGCTTGCCTTTATTGGGCAGTGCACTGAATATAGAAGTCAGGACATCATGTTGCAGCTGTACAGAACATTGGTTCTGGTCTCCCAGCTATAGGAAGGATGTTGTGAAACTTGAAAGGGTGCAAAAAAGATTTATGAGGATGATGCCAGGGTTGGAGGGTTTGAGCTATAGGGAGATGCTGAATAGGCTGGGTCTATTTTCCCCGGAGCGTCAGAGGCTGAAGGGTGACCTTATAGAAGTTTATAAAATCATGAGGGGTATGGGTAGTGTGAATAGCCAAGATCTTTTCCCCAGGGTAGGGGAGTCCAAAACCAGAGGGCATAGGTTCAAGGTGAGAGGGGAAAGATTAAAATGGGATCTGAGAGGCAACTCTTTCATGCCTGTGTGGAATGAAATGCCAGAGGAAGTCGTGGAGGCTGGTACAATTACAACATTTAAAAGACATCTGATAGGTACGTGAATAGGAAGAGTTTAGAGGGATATGGGCCAAATACTGGCAAAGGGGACTGGATTAATTTGGGATATCTGCTTGGCATGGACGAGTTGGACTGAAGGATCTGTTTCCATGCTGTATAACTCTAGGACTCTATGAGAAGTGCAAACCTAACAGGATTTAACAACAAAGATTTATTTCGCTCAAGCGTTACATTGAAATTCCTCCCGTGGATGCTGAAGCGTTTGCTAAATATTCCATGTATAGGCCGTATGATGAATGGAGACGTACTTGACATTGCACAAGCAAACACTAAGAAGTGATATCCATTGAAGAAATTGTCAATATTTCAGCTGTTTGATCAGAGCTGAGATCTCTTCTCACAGTTAAAGTGGAGGCACCAGAAAGTGGGATGACCTAGGTGTAGCTGGATGTGGTTACTGATGAGTTGGAGTGGACATGTAAGATAGCGTGAGACAGACCAGAGTGGCATACTATGACAGCAGCTCTCCTGGCAGAAGGAGCTACAAACAGAATCAGCAGTGAGGGCCTTTCATCAGTTTTCCACCCCATTTCATATATGCCTTCCCCATAATAATCAAGGGAGAACTCATTCTATTAACCATCACCCAAGCTCTCAGTGAATCAGTCGTTGCTGCTGTAAAGAAGCATTTTGAAGAAAGACTTGCATATGTACACGACCTGAGCACGTGTTGAAACAATTTACAACTGGATGGTAGGCGTCTTTTCCCTAGGGTGGGGGATTTCAAGTCTAGGGGGGCACATTTTTAAGGTGAGAGGAGAGAGATTTTAACAATGACATGGGGGCAAATTTTTTTACACAGAGGGTGGTTCGTTTGTGGAATGAATTTCTGGAGGAAGTGGTGGATGTGGGTACAATTACAATGTTTAAAAGATATTTGGATAAGTACATGAATAGGAAAGGTTTGGAGGAATATGGGCCAGGAGCAGGCTCGTGGAACTAGTTTAGTTTGGGGTTATGTTTGGCATGGACTGCTTGGACTGAAGGATCTGTTTCAATGCTGTTTGACTCTATATCAAGGAAATAGAGGAGGAAGATCATCCATGGGCCAAAGCAAGAGCAATTAGGACCGAAGATAGTCAGTAGATCCTAACAAAGTGGGAGAGAGTAGACCCAGGCATAGTCATTAAACAATGACAGAGTAGGAGACAGTGGGACTCAGAGAGAGATCCCAACGGAGTGGGAGAGAGGAGGATAAGGGGACAGTAGCATCAAAATGAGTAGAAGAGGATCTACAGACAGTCTCTAGCTCCTCAACAGAGGGAACAGATGACAGACGAAACAGCACAAGGAGATGAGAATGAAGTCAAAAAGTAGAAGTTGAGCTGATTGGTTGTCGAGCAGCTACTGTT